TAATCGAAAATGAATTTTTCTGGATATCTTCACGTTTTGAAGGTTTCTGAACATTTTGGCATATCTTAGAAAAAATGGATGTATGTGTGTGTGTGTATGTATGTATGTTTGGATACAATTTTTCGTCCACGATTTCGGGCGCACGAATCAACCGATTTGATTGATCTCAAAAAAACATTCGATTCCTATTGATGAAAAGGCGTGCTGATTAGTTTTTGGTGGAGGCAGGTCCAGCCGTTTCGAAGATAAGAGGCAAAAAGTGCCATGAACGGTAATTTCGAGAGAACGGAGTATCCAATTTGAATGATTTAAAAAAACATTTTACTTATATTGACAATATGAAAAATTGATGAAATTTTTGGTAAGGCAAGTTCAGCGGTTTGGGAGATACAGAAAGTAAAAAAATAATATTTGGCGGTCAAAAATGATCATTAGACATATGCACATGAAATTATCAGATATATGATAACATTTTTAAAAATGAGTACTAATTTTGTTACAATTTTGTTGAGTTCCGTACCAAAATTGTTAGTTTTTAAAGTTTACCTATACGGTTCAAGCCAATTTCAAATTTTTCAGAAAAAAAATTTTGAAAGAAGTTTTATACTTCCAATATAAATTTCAAATTTACAATTTAGTTTAAAATTGTACATATTTCATATGCTTTATTCTAATCGTAAGAAATATATCCGCGGACGAATTTATTCGGCACTTCTTGCTAACGTAAACTTTCTCAAGTGTTTTGACCAATAAGATCATCACTGTATATTTTATGAACGAATGAAATATATAGTAATTATAATTATATCTCTTTGAAAATCTTTAAAACAATTGGTATTAATTATTGATCAATATTTTTTGATTACTGATTTGCCACCACTAGTTGCTTTAATAGTTGTTATAGTATTCTTGATCTACAATGTTTTTTTTATTGAATTTCATTAAAGTATTACAGAAATATTATTAACTCGAATTCAAAACCTAAGAGAGAACAAAATTAAGGGAAAGTTTATCTATTTCCAATAGTACCAAATATATTAAAATATGTTCCAATTCGACTCTGGAGCAAAAGATGCTGCAAGTGAATCTGTGTTGCGCAAGATTTAACAACATTAGAGTTTGCATCTCATTAGATATTCAAATGTTCGGCTTACGCGCGATTATTTAATATATTGTACATATACTCACAGAAGCCATAAACTTGACTTTAGAATTGCTAATGTGTAATTATAAAATTTCTCTCGCATAAAACGACTTGTCGGCAATACACGAGACTAGCTTTTACGTATCGTAAAAATTGAAATTTTGCTTGAAGTAATTTAAGGAGCTGTCGCGAAGTATAAATTGATAATGGATATACCACATATTCTTGGTCCTTAATTGCTCATCAATCCTTAGTCGCCCAACAATTTCAATTTTTGTCGTTTTAACCAACTTTGAAACTCATTTACTTCGTTTATATTTTAATACTTTACAACAAATTTGCTTTTGCGGTATTTAGACAAGGAAATAAATGGTTATATAGTTTTATGTCAATTGCGAAATGAAAATGATTATATATATATCGCCAAAGGCCAAAATAATCGCTTAGGCACATATGATTTTTGGATACTAGGGATCAAAATAAGATACTTTGCTGAAGAAATCATATCTCTAAAATGTATTCTGATGTCCCGTGCGTTGACCTGAAAATAAGGGTTAAAGTTTGAAATTTACAATTTTGACCCATTTAGAATGCCTCAATCGCGTTCCAATGTATGACCGACCCTCACTAACTTTCGAAGGCAGATCCTCCCATGCCCGTGGTTCAAACCCCGGGACCCCCCTGAAAGGTTTCTCAAAATTTAACCCTTATCTTTGGGTCAACGCACAAGACATCAAAATCATTTTTAAAGTTAAGGTTTCTCCAGCAAAGTATCTTATTATGATCCCTAGAATACAAAAATCATATATGCCTAAGTGACCCTTAAATCGACGCGCCCTGATATAAATTGATCATAATGTGTCCTGATATTTACTACATTATGCGTCCAACGCTTATTGATCATGTTTCTTGATATTTTTACTACATATAGATCAATTTTCACAAAAGATTAAGAAAAAAATTATATGAAATCATATCAACATTATTCATTTTAACAGATGCAAACACATCCAATGTATTTTGCAATGGTGTTGATACTTTTTTAGCAACATATTTTGAAATCGTATACAATGCGCTCAGTCAAGCATTTTAAATGTTTGCCAAATGCATTGGGTAATCAAATTCTACTGATTGAAAGGCTATTGTTCCTCGATTTTGTTATCATTATATCTCCAATTTACAAAATTCAACTACATCAATATACGATTGTTAATTTTGCATCTAATAACAAAACTGTTTATGTACAATATTTTTAAATCAATTTCATATTCAACAGATGTTTATTGCAATTATTCATACTCAGTGACACTTCGATATGTACTCAATTGGCTTTGTTTTTAGTCATGTGTTTGTTTTCTATAATTAATAAAATCGACATTGTAAGCTATATTTAAAACAATTATACACCAAAAAAATTAATGGTGATTAAAATCCTGACTCATATAAATTGTTAGTTTATTAACACCGAGGTGATGAATGTAAAGTATTTTCAAAAAGACTAGTAAAAACCGGCATTCAATAGATTTTATTTATTTACATTATAGTTTTTTTTCCGATATGTTTATCACATGCATTGCGGTTTAAATATTTTTCGATACATACCTTTCTACTGCGGTTGAATTATTATTTGATCAAATAATTACACAACGTTGCATAATTAATAAGTTATTTCTATTTATTTATACGTTATTAATGTGCCGAATTTTGGAGAAATATTTATAATATGCTTAAATAACTTTCGTCATAATTAATAGAAAATAATACATGGAATTGTTAGAGAAATGTTTATGGAATGGATAAGTTATAGTAATAGGCCAAAAATCGAAAATGAAAATATTTGCATATCTTCACGTTTCAGCGGTTTCTGAACATTTTGGCATACCTAAGAAAAAATTGATGTGTGTGTGTGTATGTGCGGAGACAATTTTTCGTAGACGATTTTGGGCGTACGGATGAACCGATTTGAATGGTTCAAGAAACATTCGATTCGTATTGATGATGAGACGTGCTGATTAGTTTTTGAAGAAAACAGGTTCAGCGACTTCGGAGACATGGTGCAAAAAGTGTTAAAAATGTCAGTTTTTAATAATTAAATCAACCGATTTGAATGATATAAAAAACATTCGATTTGTAATGATGAGGAGAAGTGGTGATTAGATTTTGGCAAAGGCAGGTCCAGCCGCTTACGAGATTTAGAGCTAAAGGTGCAAAAAATGCAGTTTTTGGGAGAACTAAGCATCCGATTTGAATTATTTAAAAAACGTTCTGCTTTGTTAACGAAACGGTTGCTTTTGAAGATTTTTTTTTTATTTCAATTTTTTTTTTGTTAATTTGCAAAAAAAAATTTATGAAAAGAAAGTTTAATGCGATCCACGAATAAAACGGTTTAAATTGTTTTGTTTGTATTCGATTTAGAGATACATTATATCACAATTAAATATGTGATCTTTTAGCTGTAATAATCATGAAGTAACTACACATAATTAATACTAATTCTATATTTTTATTAATGCATATGACTTGCTTTATCATTAACGATCTTTTTCAGCAGTTAATATAAAATACAAACAGTAATCTAACATCGATTATTTGCAGTGACTGTAATTATATAACAATCAAATTTGCGCATCCTCAAAAACATTTCGCGATTAGATAATGGTCATTGTTAACTGTGGGACCTTATTATCCGATTGTTCTTGCTTTGCTGACAAATTGCATTATGTAACGAAGCCTAATGCTACGCTGAATGATGGTCGAATGCGCTTGCTCGTTCTTCTTTGATGGCACTTAAGTCGGATTAGTATTCAATGACTTTTTTTAATTGTTTAGTATAATTGGTGGATGGAAATAATAAGACATTTCTATCTCTAAAAAGGGTATGGGCGTGTTTCCATACAGAATTAGCCCCACTCTGGTATTTAAATTACTTTGATGCCATTTTATAGGTATTTTCGAGAAAATTTGAAATACCAAATTTTAAATCCGTAGCTCATCGTTTGGCCGAGATATCAGTAAAAATATGTGAAAGTGGCCCCTTTTTTCAAACACACTTTTTGTCGGAAATATGAGAGATATCGAAAAAATGTTTACGCCATTCTATTTATACTGATCTTGTCTATGTTGTTCATAACAAATAAAGTAAAAAATATTATTTGTTAGTGCGTGAAAAGGTAAAAATGATTTTTTATTTTCCATTTTCTGCCAGTGCGGTTCCTTTGACTACTTTGAAATTAGCATCATTCGAAAGCCTGTACATTTTTCTTCTGTTATTCAAAAATTCATTTAAATGTAGGTGGAACTTCATGGTGAAAAGTTGGAAAAACTTAAGCTAGTACACGCGCTGCCGGTACAAGAACGCCCATATAAGTTGGCTTTGCAAGAGCGACGAGCAAGCATAAGGTTATGTTTACTTATCTATGCATAAGGCTCATCGTTATCGCGCGTCTCGACAAATCCTGTATATACTTATGGAAATATTTATTAAAATTCAAAATTCATTTATATCTTGTATATAAGTATATTCATCAGTCATAATAAAAAAGCCAACGCACCGAATAAAAACAATAATTATTATTATTTATTATTTTCATTCGCCGTATAAGCTTGTGACTAATATATTTCGATGTATAAAAAACTTTCAAAACTTCAATACTTTTGATATACTTATGTCGGCAATAAAACGTGTTTTAATTTTAATTCATTACCTTTTTTGATTTTTTTACAATGTTATTATATTTTATATAGTTATCATTAAATAAAAAATCGGGTAGGGTTAATCTACCCTAGTTAAAAAGTTAAAAACTATAATATATTATTGTTATTTCCCAGATACGATGACAGATTTGCCGTTGAAGGAGCAAAATGGTCACAATGGAGTCATCGTACAATCGGCCGAGAAAAAAAGCCAGTGGAGCGACAGGACCTGGTATCAGAAGTACGAGTACTTGAAATCGCACATAACCGTGGAGCCCATGTTAGCCTGTTACATAATGCCCAGTTGCCTTGCGGGACTGGCCACGCAAAATCTTAATTTAGAGAAAGCATGCAGAGTCAACCTGCAGTACGAGAAGCACATTTGCGATGCACTCTCATCTAGGTACGATTGAAAGATAAATTGCATTTTACTGAATATATATGATTTACTTCTAAACCATACGCTTTTATTTCTTCTTCAAAAACTAGTGGGGCGCATGGCATCATGCTTTAAGGCAAATTGCTGGAACTTCTCGTACCAAAAATTATTATTTTTTTATAAAGGTTAACATTGTTGAAAAAAATTTACTTCGAACAAATTAGATTTTTGAGAAACTATAAATTTGACAAAAAATTCCTTTTTTTGGAAAAAAAATTTTTGTTGGTAAAAAAATGTTTTCTTTATTTTGACATATTTTAGAAATTCTGAACTTTTTTTTCAAAGCAATAGTACTGCTTTAACTGTATAGAAACGAAATGTCAAAGCGCCGCGTCACCGTCTAACGGATAAACATTGGTACGGAACCCATAGGAATGTAAACAAAATTTATACTTATTATTAAAATCTCTGTAAAATATCTGATAATTTTATGTGCATATGTCTAATGATCATTTTTGACCGCCAAATGGCATTTTTTTTTTTACTTTTTTCACTAGAACCGCTAGACCTGCTCGTTCTCTTAAAAACCGAGTTACCATTTTGGCACTTTTTGCCCCGTATCTTCGATATGGCCAGACCTGCCTCCGCCAAAAACTGATCAGCACGTCTTCTTATCAATACGAATCAAATGTTTTTTGAATTATTCAAATCGCTTCATCCGTGTTCCCGAAATCGTCGACGAAAATTTTTATCTGCGCACACATACCAAATCAAAATGTTCAGAAAGTTTTCAAACGAAAAGATACATAAAAATTTTCATTTTCGATTTTTTTGCGATAACTATAACTTGCCCCACGGGAAGTTAAAAAATTGATTGTTCAAAAACATTTAAATTATTTTATTCAACATTTACTGTGTATATGGGATGTCCCCTTCCTCACCAATTGTTGATAACAAATTAAAAAAATATTAATAAAATAATTATACACTTATGTAATTATTATAAAATTGAAAGAATTCACTTTTTACTTTAATGACTAATCAAACACACACTCAACATACAATTGGTTGAAATGTAAAATGGTTAGTTATTAAGGTAAAAAGTGATTTTTTTTTTCAATTTTATAATATTTAAATATATGTATAAATATATAGTAAAAAAGTTTTCTAAGTTATTAATAAGTCTAAGTAATTAATAAGTTCCTATTGCCATATATTTATATTTATTATACAAAATTGAAATACTACCAATGGGCAGTATTTTAAAATCTTATTTTAATAGCTTAGTCACAACAACTACTGAATGCCTTTTCAGGCAGTTGTAGTTTGATAAAAATAAAAAAAATAAAAAAAAATAATAGTTCCTGAAAAATAGAACATTCCCATATCCCGAAACGTTGAATAAAATAATCGAAATTTTGTTTGGAATAATAATAGGAAGTTCTTAGTTCAGAAGTTGTAAAATCATAATTACTATATATTGTTCAGAAGTTGTAAATCATATTTACTAATATGAGCTATCCATAAAACCATATATCTTCAAGGTCAATGTTATTTTCACTTATTGTTAGATTGAGGATGAGGAACTTTTTTTCAGTGCTGGAGTTAAATGAACTTTTGTATAATTAGGGCTATCTTTTAAAAAATCGAATAAAAATTTATATTAATCCAAAATTAAAATAATTAATTTAATTAATTTATTTATATAATTAATATAAATTGAATTATTAAAAATAATTGAATTCAATATTTTTTACTTAAGATTATGTTATCGGATTGACGCTAAAATAATACTATTCCTTAAACTCATAACATTCAAATATAATTTTTTTCATAAAATATTAATCAGATTTTAATCCCTGCGTAAAAGGTTGTATGATAGCACATTGCCGTACCAAAACGAGTTACATAATACTTCTGAATCTATAGGATTCAAAAATTGTATTATATAGCATTTAGCCACTAACAACACATGTCATTTTAATACCACATGCTTTTACATCGTATGCTATTCAAATCATTTCAATTTTTATATATAGTAACATAAGTTATCATTATATACAAATATTATGTTTTTATTGTGTTACATATTAATTATTACATATATATTTCTATTAACATTTTAATATCTTATTTTGCGAAGTAATTTTAAAGTATATATCAACTTATTTGTACTCAACTTGTATAAGAGTTTTGGGAATCGATCGGAGTAATCTGATATGGGAGTCGAGCAATAAATATAACTTCATTTTTGCCGAAAAGTACGAATCAATTAATCATGATAATAAATTCTCGCCTAAAGTCACAGTCTTCATTAACAGAAAAATAAAACAACAGTCTACAACTATATGAGTAAACTATATATACGTTGTGTTATATAAATAAAAACATATTATTTTATATAACCGTTAACGTTATAACCAATTAACTGTGGTGCAATCATTGAACAGTGCGCACAATTTTGTGTTCAAAATTGAAGAAAATTTATGAAAAAATAATGTTTTAAATTATAATGCACTTTCATATATTTGTTTTTATATCAGCATAACACCAAAATATTCTAATTATAAGTACCTTGGAAGTGGACAATATGTTTGGTTTTTCAAAAATTGCAAGATAAGTAGCCTATAGTCTCCGATTTATACGCATGACGAGTATACTCGTCAATACACAAAATTCTGCCACTGTCTGTGGTTGACGAGCATACTCAACCACAATCAACTGGTTAAGGTAAGCAAAACTATCGACAATAGAAAAATCACACAAAACTTACGATTTCAGATAGTTCCAAATTGAATCTTCTCACTTTTTTCTTAAAACACATTTTAAGAATTTATATAATTCAATAATACGTTCCAACAAGTATTCTTTTGTACAAGTAATATTTTCGACATGAGTTAAATCGTCAGTTACATCAGCCATATCAGTCACGTAAGCCGTCCTCTGTAGTACTACAGATAATGAAAAATAAAGTCAAAATTTGTTATCTATCCATCTCTTTTATGTATCCATCTATCTTTTATATTAGGCAAACTGCAAACTATACCAGCGAAGAACAAGCTGTGCAGCAACTTGTCGCCGGAATGGCAGGTTGGAAAACAGTGCTGCAGAGCGCGCTCCCTTGCCTTCTAATTCTGTTTCTTGGAGCTTGGAGCGATCGTGTTGGACGTCGGAAACCTTGCATGCTGCTGCCAATAGTCGGCGAATTGCTGACAAGCGTCAGTTTAATTATATGTACATACTTTTTTGATGAGCTGCCTATGGAGGTAGCTGGTGTAGCAGAAGCGCTTTTTCCTGGACTAACAGGTCACAAAATTTAATGATAGTAGAATAACGATGGTATTTTACCACTAAGATGTAATTAAGTTCAACTTCATCAAAAATGTTTTGCTTTTTCAATTGATGACAAATTGCAATCATTTTCCAAATATCCTGTTTCTGCTTGTCTCACATTAGGGGGCGTCCATTAATCACGTGAGCGAGTTTTTAAGGATTTTTGGATCCCACCTCCCTCTTGGTGATACATGGTGATATTCAAAATTACCCCCCCTCCCCCACCAAACATCACGTGTATTTTTAGTTATGCGAAAAAAACTGTAAAATTTTTGAATGAAGTATTTTTTTTTTTTTGAAAATGTTTGATTTTTAAAAAAAAACAGTTAAAAAATAAATACACGTGATATCTTACTATACCCCTTCCTCTCCCACATGATATTTCTTGATTTTTTGTCAAACCCCCCCTTCCTCTAAAAACCTCACGTGATTAATGGGCGCCCCTTAATGTGAGACAAGCAGAAACACGATATTTGGAAAATAATTGCAGTTTGTCATCAATTTTAGCATCAATTTTAGTCATCAGGCTTTTAGGGGAAGGGGGGTTGACAATAATCACAAAATACCACATGCGGAAGGAAAATGTCTACTAAGGTGTATTTATTTTTTACCTGAATTTTTAAAAAAATAAAAAAAGAACGATTTTTTCGTAAATTCGAAAAATTCTTTCGAAAAATTTTGCGTAACTAAAAATATACGTGATGTTTGGTGTGGAGGTAATTTTAAATATCACGACGTATCACCAAGGGGGAGGGGGGTTCAAACTTCCTAAAAAATTGATCACGTGATCAATGGACTACTAACAGCTATAATTTTTATTGCTGTATAATCAGTTACTTCACACTTTTGCCATTAGCATCATGAATAAGTAAAACTCTGTGTCGTAAATAAAGCAATCTAGTCAGTTTTGTCTCTTTTTCAGAATAATAATTAACATAGTATTCACTTAATTTGTCACTTTATATACTAAATTCATTTCTTCCAACCTCTTCAAAGCCTCATATTTCAAAACTGGAGTTTGACAAATTCAAAGGTGACCATACGTCCCGGTTTGGCCGGGACAGTCCCGAATTTCCACCTTATATCCCGGGTTTTTCTACTGATTACGAGCAGTATTTGTACTGATTTAGATCTTTTGTCTCGGGTGGGTCCCGATTTTAAATTTAAAAAAATTATGAAAACAAACGAACACAACTGCTATTTTTTTTCAAATTAATTATGAACAAAATTGAATAGAATTTTATGCAAAGCTCAAAAGCAAAAAAACATATAGAAACAATAGTCCGCAATTTTGATCAATAGAAAATAATTCATATAAAAAACTTTTTTTATTGTATCCTCAAATAGCTATAAATTGCCGTACCGGTTTTAACTTAAAATAATAATAAGGTGACCATAAAAAAATATGGTCACCTTACAAATTCTATACTCCTGGTTCATACAAAACATACATTTTTTAAACAGCGATCAGATCTTCAGAGACGATTTTTAATGGAGATTATATTTGAGATCTATAACCTCAAATAAAAATTTGGTATCATACTGCTTGATATCGAGCTTAGCTGAGGTTGAAATCGAATCCTGAACTAGTGCGAGCCTACGTCCTTATCAATTACGCCACGGCTGGCTCTGCATAATATTATTTATGCAGAGCCTGATAATTATTTAACAATAATTTTATGTTTTATTTGTTGATTATTTACTTTGTTGTCAATCATCCTTTTCTATTTAGGTGGCTGGTTCACCATGTTCATGGGAATATTCAGTTACATAGCAGATGTTACGACTGAAGAGACGAGAACTCTTCGAATTGGAGTTGTGAATTTATTCTGTTCCCTTGGTATTCCATTGGGCATGGCATTAAGTGGCATATTATTGAAAAAAATCGGGTTCTATGGAGTATTTTCTGTGTCTGCAGTAATGTACATGATTGCATTTTGCTATGGATACTTTGGTATCGAAGAAAGCAATAAAATAAAAGTGGATAAGGTAAATTTCATCTACAAGGTAAATTTTAACCAAACAATAAATTAAATTAAATCCCTTATTTCAGGACATTAAAGAAGACGAAAGGATGTGTTCATCTTTGCGGAATTTCTTCGACTTTAATCACGTAACAGATACATTCCGAGTTGCATTTAAAAAAACTGAAGGTAATAGAAGAACGCGCGTAATAATGTTGATGGTCGTCGTCATGGTAGTCATTGGTCCAATGCACGGTGCGTAATTAAAGTACTTTTCATAAAAAATGAAATACAAAATACTTAATAAAAATATCGTTCAGGCGAAATCGCCGTGATGTACCTATTCACACGATATCGTTTCAATTGGAACGAAGTGGATTTCAGTATTTTCCAAACATACAGTATGGTAACAAACTTAATAGGTACAGTATAATGGAAACTGTTATAGAAATAAAAATAAATAACGTATCTGATTATAATTATTATTAAACAGGCACGCTATTTTCTGTGGGCGTTTTTAGTCACATACTGAAAATAGATGATGCATTGATAGGCGTCTTGTCGACCATGAGCAAGATCTTATCTGGCTTCTTGTATGCATTCGCCGTTACTAAGTGGCAAATTTATTTAGGTGAGATAACATTCAGTCATATTAATTTTCAATAAAAGGAATCGATAAGTGAAAATAAAAAATATCTACATCTTTTAAAACTAAGTAAGATTTTTTTATTGCAGCACCTATCATAGAAATTTTGAATGGCACATCTTTCATAGCGATGAGATCCATTGCATCAAAGCTAGTACCAAGTGATGAATTAGGTAAGAAAACAATTTGGAAAATAATGAAATGAAACTTACGACAATATATTTCCACTGGTTAATTTTAGGTAAAGTTAATTCTTTGTTTGGGGTTTGTGAAGCTATGATGCCACTGGTGTACGCGCCTATTTACACATCGCTTTATGCAGCTACGATTTATACTCTTCCAGGAGCCTTTTTCTTGCTGGGCGGATTCCTTACAGCACCCGCAGTTGCAATATTCTTGTAAGTTGTATTGGTGGAAAAATAATACAAGCATACATTAAATAACGTATCATATTCCCTGAAACATAAAAAAGCAAAATAATTAAACAAATGTTTAAGGAAATGACTATTTTTTTAACCTTGCTAACTAGAAAGTTCGATAGATCAACTGATTTCTATCTATTTATTCAATTTTTTCCCTAGATGGATGTATACAGTTCATAGAAAAGAAAGAAAACAACAAGCTGAAGCAAATGCAACACGAGATACATCAAATACAACCATACCTAATGGTGTTGATAATACCGCCTTCGTTAACGAAGAAAACACCCATAACAAACAGACAGCTACCTTGTGAAAAAAGCGACGTATAAAATGCATTGTTTTCAAGTGCGTGAAACATCAAATCTTGCCAAATAATGAACATCACACCGAAAACTATAATTCCGTCCCATTATAGACTTAACTTGCAAAATTATTAAAAGTGCTTCGAAATTCAAAAAAGTAGTTAAATGGTTTTAACATCGAAAAGAATTGTGCTTTTTTGGAATGCAGCAATAATAGCATTAAGTGTATCACTACAATTTGTAGATCGATAAGGCACTGAGGTTTGAAAAACTGTAACAACATTGTTTAAATAAATAAATAAATATATATATATATATATATATATATATATATATATTATATTTAAAAGAGAAAAACAGGGTACTCAAATTTTGATGACCTAAACGCATAGTTTTGGGAAAATTACCATCCTCATTATTAATGCATGTGATTACAATAAATATAGTTCTAAATATAAATTATCTATATACAGGTTGAAGAATATATGAAAAATTATTCCAATTTATTATGTTCAGTACTAAATAAAATTAGGATATGTATGTATAGAAGCGATGACTGAAGTATTATTAAACAGTAATGATTAAGTATCAGTTAATTGAATTAATAGTATCCAGAATTGTACGAGTATATTTATATTAAGATAATTATATTTTGAAAGAGTAGAAAAACGTGATTCAAAAAAAGCTTTTGTAAAGAGATTGTAATAAAGAAATGTAAATAAAGATTTATAAATAAATTTTATAAGGTAGTTTCAATTAATTTAGTTTATAATAACATAAAAAAACTTAAAACAGAAGTTTGATAAATATAATTGATTTTTCAACACAAGAATATTGATGTCTACAGAAACGAAAAACCATTACAAGCACAGTTCACAATTTCGGTCACAACAACGTGTCAAAAGTACATATAACATAGAAAACAGCTCAACGCAATAATTTACTTAAATGCAGCAAACCAGCATAAGTAAATTTGCACTCAACAGCCATAAAATAAATTTAAATAATGAGGAATACAATCACAAATCCTACTGCCACTGTATATACACAACAACAAACTGAAAAACTGAACTTCAAAACTTAATGAAGAAAACTGAATTAACAAATTTAGCAAGACTTTATTGGAAATATTTGTCATTTGCTGTTAATAATTAATCAAATGAATACAATGCATATGTTATAACCAATTCTAAGATCACGGTATATAAGCTTTTTTGCAAAATGCTTTATGTATTAAGAATCTGATATTTACAATATGCAATTTATTATAACAAAAAATATACTTTGTTCAGAAACATCAAATTTCTATCTTAATTTCACGTCAGCACTTACTTGATAGCAAATCAGAGCTGATAGCGAAATAAACTAAAATTTCTAATTACAGGAAACTATTATTTAGAACACATGTATTCAAAATTATGAAAAATATATGATAATTATTATAACATAGATTTTATAAAAATAAGTCAAATATATGTATATATATAAATATATGTATATATGTGTATATATAATACATATATTTTTAATAATTTTTGTAACATTTCCAAACATATATATATTAAAAGATGCCAGATATTTTAATGTTAAACTACAAAAATTCAATACCCAATTAGTATGTTTTTTTTTCAGTAAAACCCAATTCTATGTATAGGCAAATATATCTCTATATTTCTACCCAATCATCGCAAGACTGTAAAAACATTAACATTAGCCATTATTAAGTAAGTATATAAATATAACTCAAATTATTTAGATTGCAACCGTACAGAATAGTCAATATACACACATATATATATGTATTAGCAAGTTATGCAAATATACATATATATAGTATACATTTACATATTTATAATAGTAAATAACATATCCCTATCACTACAATTCGCAAATTTTTATTACTTTTCTTCTTCAACTAGTAAGTATATAATAAAGAAATTATAGGTATATATATAAATCAAAATAAATTGGAGCAATTATTTTTTTGCTTAGGTGCACCACCATTATAAGTGAGACATGAATCGCTACTGCACAAATTGTCAGAGCCGTGTTGATTTGTTCATTAGTTTGCATTTTACATAGCGTCGCTTATATTAATAACAATAAACGTGGTAATCATTTATATTTTTGCAAAATTGTTTTGCCTAAAATTTTCAAAATACATAGCTCCCTGCTGAAAGCTCAACAGTTAACATATCACGGAATGTTTATATATCTAATTTTATTTCTAATTATCCTTGGATCAAAGATATGATTACTAAAAACTGAAAAGCAAAAAATGAAAATAATGCTAGAAAAAGCAAACATAATATCCAATTAATTTGTTTAAGAACACATTCAGCATATAACTGTACACAGTTAGCATATTCATATCACAATCAGCTTGAACAAACTGATAAATATCAATGTCATTTCCACATACATTATTTTTAACTGAATGTGATTTATGTGCAAGGGCAAATTTAGAATTATTATAGAAAAATGCTATAAAGAAACTAATTTTAACATCCTATAATTGTACAGATCAACATAATGCTAGATTAAAACTTAAGAAATATTTTTCATCCAGCAGTAGCTTTAAATCGCATTTAAATGTAAATTATAGAAAATTAAATATTGTCCAGATGATATTCGGAAGAAAATAAGTCTGTTATGAACATTCATTGTAACTATTTATTTTGCGTCCACAATATACACATAAATTATGAATTATGTGAGATATGTGGTCACTCACAGACGAGATATGCCAAACTCTCCCCATTTATCCAATAGCCCTAGAAACAAAATATTTGTGATTACAATTTTTGTAAATTTCAAGATGCTCCAATTCTATTTCATTGAATTCTAATGCATTTGTAATGTTGGAAAAACTAACTACCACTCTAGTTTACCATTTTTATGATTACTTCACTTCAAAGAACTGCATAAGCAGATAAATCCAAATAAAACAGAATTATAGAGATATAACCTTTTTCTTAAAAAAACTTACCCTCCAGTTATAGATAAAAATATCACTAAACACCAAAATAAAAAAAAAGATATTTTACTGAAAGAATCAATACATTCAAGCACTTGTTCTCAATTATTAATTTTAACATATCTAATTGATAAGTTAATTACATATGGCCCGGTAAATTCATTTTGAGAATACATACTGTAACATCCAAATAATAAATAATTACGTTGTTTTAAAAATAAATAAATAAAAAAACGTATATTAATATCAGCTAGTCCTTATTTTCATAATAATCGTCCAAACAAGTTGCTAAAGCTAATCAAAAGTAAATACATACATGAATACTATAGATATTTGGTTATTGGCAGCATTGCTTGCGGACACTGTCCGGATTGACAGTAGGTTTAACATCAATTGGCTCTACATTTTGTGGCCTGATAACATCACCCTCTGGAGGATCACGTATTTGCTTCTGGGAAACAATTCTGTAGATCTCTGTAAACAAATCGAAATGAATAATAATTAAAAAAATATAAATATAGAAAGGTAAATGATTATCCTTATGTATTACCTGTAAGGATATTTTGAAAGGCTGTTTCCACATTAGTAGAATCAAGAGCTGAGGTTTCTATGAAACTCAAACCATTTCGTTCAGCAAACACCTTCGCTTCATCTGTAGGCACAGCCCTAAGTGAAGCAAGAATACCATTTTATTATAAATAAGACTGCAAAATACTAACCAGCCAAACAAACTTTTTATGTAAATGTTTTGCACAATCAATAAGAAGCAATTAAAATAGTTGAAGGAATAAAATATTAACATAATTGAAAGTAAGGCTCATGTAAACATGAGCATTACAGAATTTCTGAAAAATTAGATAAATATAATGTCAAATGTATTCACAAATGATGTTTAAAAGGACATACAACAATATAATTACTTGACAAAATAAAATAATTGAATCGATAACAATTGACAAAATATTCCAAATTATAAATAAATGTAGATAAATATTTTGCACCATTACATGCACATATAATGCACCATTACATGCAAAATAATGTATGATCTAAAAAACAATATGATACAAGAAACCACTTTATACAAAATTTGGTTTTTGCAAAAATCTTACCTCAAATGTCTCAGATCAGATTTGTTTCCCACAAGCATTATCACTATATTCTGATCAGCATGATCTCTTAGCTCTCGTAACCAACGTTCTACATTTTCATAAGTTGGGTGCTTTGCAATGTCATAAACTAAGAGAGCACCAACAGCTCCTCTATAATAGGCGGATGTTATAGCTCTATACCTTTCTTGGCCAGCAGTATCCCATATTTGCGCCTTAATTGTTTTACCATCAACCTAATAGAACAAATGACTTGATAATGAATAAATCACAAATTAATGACTTCAGTTTGTGTTATATTTAGAATTAATCATTCACATTAAACCTAAATGATCAAGTACAAA